AATCTGTGTCTTTTGATTGGGGAATTTAAACCCTTAACATTAAGAGTTGTTATTGAAAGGTATGTATCCCAAGAAAACAATACTGTAAAAACAAGCCAAGGTCGCCCTCTGCTGGCAGAAGCTCATTGTTCTCTCAAATCCTTCCACTATTTTGTGTAGACATTTAAAAAAAATATTTTCAAGTCATTTTCTAAAGGAAAGGAGTGGAAGAGTCTGAGACACAACAAGAGCATGAAGAAAACCATAAGGATCTCATTGTGAGACTGAGCACTTCTTGACAGGAATCTGCTTTGTATCATGAGCTTTGGATGCCCCAATTCCCTGTAAACCTACACTGAATGTGTGCTGCTCTGCAATCAAGCTATTTACAATACTTTAAACAAACATATTAGAACTTTTTAATTAGAATTTCAAAATTAAAGATCACTTTAGGGCCGGCCCGTGGCTCACTCGGGAGAGTGCAGTGCTGATAACACCAAGGCCCCGGGTTTGGATCCCACATAGGGATGGCCGGTTCGCTCACTGGCTGAGCGTGGTGCTGACAACACCAAGTCAAGGGTTAAGATCCCCTTACCGGTCATCTTAAAAAAAAAAAAAAAAAAAAAAAAAAAAAAAAAAAAGATCACTTTAAATGAAAAGTAATTGATATGAAAATTATAAACATGTTCAGTTTCTATTCACCTAGAAATGGAACATAAACTAATCTTTCATAAATATTTCCCCAAGTGAAAATGGCAGAAAAGTTTACCAGTGTGAATGATAGCCACAACCAAAGTTTAATTTTAATTATTTTCTATTTCTTAATTATTTTTTCCACCCATATTAAGGCTCAACAATGATACCCATGGATACAAATCTCATTGATCTTTCTTCTTGTTTCTGCCACGACCTGCCATTTGTGGAGGAGTCAGGCTTGGGGGCAGTCTGATTCCGTTCCAATTCCACCTCTACTCACTGCCTCTGTGGCTGGGGCAAGTCACAACTTGATCTTGGTTTCATCAACCATAAAGTAGGGATAATGACAACACTAATGACCTTACAGGGGCATTGTGGGGAACAAGTGAGCTTTTTCATATAAGGTGTGTGCTTGGATAATACAATTCAGAAAGAGTCAAGGAATGTTAGCTATTACATCTGGATGAGCATACTGCTGCTCTTGTTCCACTGATGGCATATGCAAAAGCGGCTTGTCAGTTATAGATGCCGAAACAGCAAGATTTTTTAAAAGTATATGGAATAACCTGTATTATAGAAGAGTCTGTATCATAATAGAGGCTTCTGGAAGATTCCTTGGGCATCGAACAACATAACTCAACAAATATTAATACCAAATATATGTAAGACACTGTGCTTGGTGCCACAAAGGATATACATGGGAGTAGACACAACTTTAAAATCTAGGAAGCTAGACAAGATAAACACGCACTACTTCAGGAAGCAGAATAAGCCTTGTAAGCCTTGAGAGAATTTTGAGAGGGTTTCTGAGGATTTAAAGGAGAGATGGTATGAGAGGATCCATGGTGAAAGGAAAGGTCGTTGAGGAGGAAGACGCTAAAGCTTTGCTGGTAGGAGAGTTAGGCACAGGGCAGACTTCACTGGCTCTATTGCTTCACAGCTGTGTGATCTCTGGTAAGTCACCTAACCTCTCTCAGCCTCACTTTCCTTATCTACAAAATGAAGATTGTTACCATACCTACCTTATAGGGCTCCTCTGGAAATTACAAAAGATGGAGTATCCAAAGCGCTTAGCAAAAAGTGGTGCACATATTGCTCAAAAAAACTATTATTATTATTATCATCATCTAGACTACAGGTTCTCAATTTTGGCTGCATCTTACAATCACCTGAAGAGCTTTTAAAACCTATTAATTCCCTTGCTTCCTTCCCAGACCTACCAAACTTCTAAGAGTGACAGTCCTGACATAAGAGTTTTTCAAAACTTCTGTTGATTCTAAATGCCTGATCTAGATCCTTGGTATTTAACTGTGGTGTGTGGCCCAGCAAACTCAGTGGGGAGCTTGGTAGAAATTTGGGTTCTCGGGCCCACCTGGACCTACCAACTGAATCTGCTTTATAACAAGATCCCACAGATCCTAAGTCTCCCTGAGAAGGTTAAGGCACGCAGACCACACTGAGTAGTGAAGGAGAGGACCCAGCGCACATACAAAATCCCTTCCTCGGGGCCTGGCTGCCTTTCTTCCTCTCTCTCTCCCTTATATCCTTTTCTTTCTTTCTTTGTTCTTCAGACATTCCTAAAAGGGGGAAAAACAACCAGCCGATATATTGGGCGTGAGCATGTGTGAGTCATAATAGCCCCTTAACATTTCTATGGAATGGGACATTTAGCAAGTCTTTCACTTGTTATTTCACTTGACCCTAATTAAGAAAAGCCTTGGAAATTAGGCATCATTATCCCCAACATGTAGCAGGAAACTGAGGCCCAAAGAGCCCCAGGGTGGCTCAAGACACCCCAGTTGGCAAACGGGGAGGTCAGGGCGGGAATCCATGCGGCGTCACAGCAGCTTCTCGAGGATGGACTTGGACTTGAATTAGCAGCAATCGTTTAAACAAGATAAATACGATAATTAATTCACAAGCGGAAACAGCCAACTATCTTCCACTAGTCCTGGTTGCAGATTTATAAAAGCGGTTGCTTGGCAACTTGCAGCCGCTAGACTAACTTTCGACCAATTCGCGCAAACTGCTGGCATGAGGACTTCCTCTCGACGACAACAACGCTTTTGCGCATGTGCCATCGCCTCCCGGAAGACGGAGCCTTTTTCTTCGCCGCCTTCCGGGCGACACAGGAAGTGGCTCCTGGGCGCATGCGCGGTGTTTCCGCGGTAAGTGGGGTGGTTTCCGCCGCAGGCGTGAGCGGACCGCGGGTTCTGGGGACCCCTACCGCGTTACCTCGCCCTTTTCTCCTCCGCGCCTGAGCAGGCTCGCAGGCTCCTAGTCCCTCCCGTTCCCGTCACCATCTTCCCGCCGCGGCGCGACTCTCAGGTAGGCCCTGTGCCGTGTCCCCTCGTTACCCGCCGCCATGGGCGCTCGCGGAGGCCGGGTCCCCCTGCGGGGTGCGTCTTGCTGCGAGATGTAGGGGCGCGAGCCAGACTGTTGAATGAGCTTCATTAATGGCCCCAGGAAGCCAGGTCAGAGCTGGAAGGAGCCTTAGGGGTCACATAGGGTCCAACCCCGTCGTTTTTCTTGTGGGGAAACTGAGGCCCCGGGAAGGGTCACACCGAGTTAGTGGCAGCGTTTCTCGCCTTTGTCCTTCCCCTTTACACGTCTGGCTTCTCATCAGACACGTGTCACCTCTTCGGAGAAAGCTTCCCTGACCGTTCTTCTACAGAAAGGCATCCATCCCCTTTTAGTCTCCCACGGCGACCTGCTTAATTTTCTTCATAGGGCTTACTCTAAAGCTGGCTGTTTCTCTTTCCCCGCCAAGAAATTATTGTATACATATGTGTGTATGTGTATCTATATACACGCATACGTACGTACGTACACACACTTTCCCAGGCAAGTATTTATTAAATACCAGCCAGGCGCTGTACTGTGGGACCAAGTGCACATTAAGGGAAGAATCCATACAGGCCCTTGCCCTCTTGGAGCTGGCATTATGTGGGGAAGATATTGACAGTAAATGAGAAATTCCAGATCGTGGACAAGTGTTATGAAGAAAACAAGGGGATGTGATCCATGGTTGGATACGTTAGATTAGACAGGGAAGCTTCTGAGGAGGTGACTTAAAAAGAACGCGTTTGACGGCTTTATTGAAGTGTAACTTACATAACAGAAAATTCACCCATTTAGAGTGTACGTTATGATGAATTTGAAAATTTTTACACGGTTGTGTAAAACATCATCCAAAAAATTATTAGAAGGCAACTTTTAAACTGGGATCTGAATATTCAGAAACGGATGCAGTTGGGGGGTTGGGGAGGGGGACTGGTGAACCATCTGAGGCTGAAGCCAACAGCTAGTAGGAATGCTCCAAGGCAGAAATGAGCTTGCTGTGTTTACCGGTAGAAAGGAAGCCAGCAGATTCCGTGTGGTTGGAATGCAGCAAGGAGGGACAGAGTAGGAAGAGATTAGGTAGGTTCCACAGGTACCCGTGCCTTCTGATCTTGAGGCTTCCCAACACCCAGCATAACATGTGGTCCACACCTGCTGATTAATACTTGAAAGACTATGAGTCTAGTAAGATTATCCCTAGTGGCAGAAATGTTCTCTTCCAGGTTGAGGAGAGGGAATGGAATGGAAGTAACGTTTATTAACAACCTGTCATGATTCAGGCACTGTGTATGCGACCTCACTTGGTTCTTATAACTCTATAAAGTAGATATCAGTGTCCCTGTTTTACAGATGAGAAAATCGAGGCTAAATAACTTGCTTAAAGCTATATAGCTAGTTCTTGGACTCTGATTGCAGAAGCCTTATCATTCCTTTGTTCGCTCATGCAGTTGACTGGTGTTTCAAGTACATCTCTATGTTTGAGGGCAGAGATGTGGTCGGCAAGCACCATGTCCTCTCACGAAGTCACTTTTCTGAGATATTAATGTGCTCATAGCTTTTGCTCTGACATAATATGACTGTTTGCTTACTTTTCATGAAGCTGGGGAAGCTCAAGTGCCTTCCCAAAATTTCTTGCAGTTTCTCTATTCTGTGTTGTCTTGTTTAAGGATGTTACCCTCATTAGCAAGTATGCCACTCAGTGTTAGGCTCCTTTTGGAGAAGTGACTGACATGGTAGACTTCTGGGTGTAAAAATTTGCTAACCGATAATAGAATTGAATATGTGGCATCTATATATGTAAGTCATCAGGGAGTTATAATACATAGGCTTTCTCCTTGGAAGGAAAAAAGAAGGGAAAGTTGTTTATTGTACCNCTGGGTGTAAAAATTTGCTAACCGATAATAGAATTGAATATGTGGCATCTATATATGTAAGTCATCAGGAAGTTATAATACATAGGCTTTCTCCTTGGAAGGAAAAAAGAAGGGAAAGTTGTTTATTGTACCCACTAGTGCTAGATACTGCACTTTCTACATAATCTGATTTGATCTCAGAGCAACCCTGGAGAAGGTGTTAATATTCTCTGTATTTGCAGAGCAGAAAAGTGAGGGTGAGATTAGGGTCCCAGCTCTGGTGAGTGGCAGAGGCCCTGTTCAAACCCTGGTGGGTGTGCTGGAGTAGGATGATGCCCAGGAAAAAACTCGGGGGGGTGAGGGGGAAGTTTTTTTCTGGGTAAATGTCCAAAACATAATGCCAGACCTCTTGGTACTCAAGGAGACCAAAGTGATTATGTAGAAGGAGTTTTAAAAAGTAATTTCTGAATTACTGCCAGGACTGGTTGTTCTTATACCTAATTTCATGCAAAGATATTGTGCTAAACCAGAATGCAGAAACTAGTAAAAAGAAAGTGAAGTCCCCACTACCTGGAAAACTGAGAGAGTGGGAACCTTCTGTCTAATTTACTGTGGTATCCCTGGTGCAATGCTTAGTGTCTCTGTGTGAAGAATGAGCAAATTTATTTTCTAGACTTTGCTGTAATGTATCAATATTGGTTGATTAATGGTGACGAATGTACCGTACTGATATACATGTTAATAATAGAGGAAACTGGATATAGAGTGTATGGGAATTGCCCTATCTTTCCAATTTTCTGTAAACCTTAAACTATTCTAAAATAGAAAGCTTATTTTAAAAAAGCACTCAGCTTATGGCATTCTTAGATCTATTCTAAAGAGAGAGGGCTGGTATCAAGCCATTTAGAGTATATTCCTTCTGTGACTTAATCTTTGTATTGCCTCTCAGTGATATTTATTACTTAAGAAAGGACCTGTCCTTAATATATATTATTATTTTTTCAGGCCAAAATGAGTCTGTTTGGGACAACTTCGGGTTTTGGAACTGGTGGGACCAGCATGTTTGGCAGCACAACCACAGATAATCACAACCCTATGAAGGTACCACATAAGGCTTCACAGGGTTTGTAGAGAAGAGTTCAGGCCAGAGTTTCCATATCAGTGATAGCAGAATAAACCAAGATGGCTTGGGAGCTTTTTTGGGGGGTGAAAGCTCTAAAACTTTGCGTAGCCTAACTTTCTCAAACACTTGAGCCCAGAAAATATGTGTCTTCTGGACTGGTGTCCTGATTTTACAGTTCTCCAGAGTCACCCAAGGTGCTTATTAAAATTGCACATTCTCAGGGCCCAGCCCAGGACTGCTGAATCAGAATTTCTGTGATGGGGAGAGGGGAGGGCAGGCGGTAATTATGACTAAGCACTGGGGCAAGAGTGGGCCATCATTTAGAAAATGTGGCTGTGGGCATTTTATTTAGAGTGCTGCTTCTAGTCCTAGCAGTGCCAGTACTTTCGCTGGCTTATTACTCTCCTTTTTGATCAAAGTAAGGAAAGGTCTAATTCATTTAATCGTTGAGCACAGGGAAAGTCCACCATGAGACTTAGTGTTTAGTGTTTAGTGAGAAAGAAAGCAATTTTGAATTAAATTGTGATGATGCATATGTTTTAACACTGACTTCTCCCCCCAGGATATTGAAGTAACATCTTCTCCTGATGATAGCATTGGTTGTCTATCTTTTAGCCCACCAACCTTGACGGGGAACTTTCTTATTGCAGGATCGTGGGCTAATGATGTAAGTGTTCCTTAAATGGGTGTTCTGTAAATCGTATTTCTTTGTATGGTCAAGGTTAGCTTTCACTCTGTTCTTTCTCAAGTGAATAAATCAGAGTTAAGGCTTATTTGTGGCCTTTTTAAAGAAATCAATTTAGAAGATGTGAGCCCCTCTGAATGTCAGACATCACTTGTTCTTACACTGAGTTTTTTTGTTAGGAAAGCACAATTATATGCATTTCTCAGAAATTCCTTCTCTAGGGGTGGCCAGTAAGCTCATTTGGTTAGAGTATGGTGCTGACAACACCAAGATCCAGGGTTCGATCCTTGTACTGGCCAGTAGCTCCCCCACCAAATCCTACTGTAGTTCAGTATCTTGAAGTGTATTTCCAAGTCAAATGTAATATTCATTGAGCATGAATATTATCCATGATGGCAGACATAAGCAAATTACCCTTCCTGGTATCCTGTAAGAATGTCCTTCAGGCATATATTAAATGTTTTCAGCGTTTGATAATAGCACAAATCCTGCATAGACATTACATTTGCCCATTGTGTACAAAAAGAAAGACAAAAAATTATGATATACAAAAAGATAAAAGTTCTGGTACAAATATAAGCAAAGAATGTGAAGAGGCACTTCACAAAAGAAGGAGCACAAGAGGATGATTTGGGTAAATTTAAACCATTCAACCACACTTGTAATCCGATAAACGTAAATTTACATGATAGACTCCTTTTTCTACCAAATCAACTAAAATAAGTTTAAAGGAATAGTAGTGCTAGCAAGGATAAACGGAAACTTTACATGTATTACTGGTAGGTATGTAAATTGGTGGAGCTCTTCTAGAGGGTAATTGGCCAATATTTATCAGAAATCCTTAAGTTTATACCCTTTGTGTCATTGATTCCTCTTCTGGGACTTGAGGAGGAAATCCGATAATGTACTTTATATGCATTATTTGAATTAATCTACAATAGCTAAAGCACTGTGGACTTCTTGTCATCTCCATTTTATGAATCAGGATGCTGAGGCTTAGAGAAGTGAAATACCTGGCCTCAGGTCAGGTGTCTGAATGAGCAGCAAGGCAGGTTGCAGACCTGCCTGGTCCAGTTCTGAGTCCGTGCTCCTGGCCGCTGCCCGATAGGCTTCCCATAAAAGAAGTTGTTATGCTAGTGGAGAATTTGAATACTGCAGTATCTAACTGATGATAATTTATGGTATGTTCACATGATGGGATACCATTGTAAGTTTTGGGAAAAGGTTTCAAACTGTGGCCTGTAACAGGGAGACAGGGTGGTGCGGTGGGGGGATGAGGAAAGAACAGTAGGGAAGAGGGTAGTCAAGGCTGAGCAAGTTTGCTTTTTACATGTAGTTTCTGGAAAGATTTCAATTGATTTGCTGCTAAAAAATGTTAGAAGAATGTTTAAAGATGAATAGGCTAATGGTGCAGTTACAAAAGTGAAGGTATACATACAATCTAGTATAATGTAGCACAATCTAGTTTTTTTCCAAAATTATGTGTGCATAGAAGACTGAAAGCACATAGAACTATCAACCATGGCTGTCTGTGGTGGCGTTAGGGTGATTCTTATATTCTTGTCATATTTTAAAATTTCTAAAATACATCACTTTTATAATGAGGGAAGAAATATTAAAAATTGCAGTAAGATGTTCAGAGAAGAAAGGTGAGTTTCCACTTTGGTCTTGATTCTCTGAATGATAATGGATAAGTGATATTCTACTTTAGAAGTCAGATATGTCATAGATGTGATAAAAAAATTCTCTGCAGTTTTAGGTGTAAGCAGTAGAATTTCTATGTTTTAATGGCTTAGCAGTAGAAAAATAGCTGCTTGCGTATGCAATTCAGTTGTTTTGTTCTTAAAGTTAGATAATTAGGTCTATATGAGAAGTCCACGTATAGACCAGTTGCACCCCATTAGTTATTAGGTGTTAAATTTAGGTAGTGCATCGCAGATTGCCTTGTTTGCATTAATTTGTCTTGCCACTACAGGTTCGCTGCTGGGAAGTTCAAGACAGTGGACAAACCATTCCAAAAGCCCAGCAGATGCACACCGGGCCTGTACTAGATGTCTGCTGGAGTGATGTATGTTTCACTCTATTTCTGGTGTTCTCTTTTACCCTGTAATTTAGCACATTTAATAATCTGAACACAAATGGCATGTATGTATCCACATTGCAGGAATTCTAAGTTTCTGAATGTAGAGTAATTTATTGATCTTAATGTTAGCCTTAGTTAGGCACTCTCTGAAAGCTTTCCTCGTATTAAAAAAATCCATTATTTTATTGACATGTTACCATGAGCAAGTGATTAATTTCTTAAAGCCTTTTCTACCTCTAAATATGCCGTGAGCTTATGTTATTTTATTTTGTTATATTACGTAAGCTTTTTTTTTTTTTTAGCGGCTGGTTGGTAAGGGGATCTAAACTCTTGGCTTTGGTGTTATAACACTGCACTCTTACCAACTGAGCTGACCACTCAGCCTTATGTAATTTTAAAATTGGGAATTTACTATCCCAGAAAATCTTAGAGGAAAAAAAAAAGAGAATACATTTCTATTATTACACACTTGAAGTGTTTTTGGTTTTTTGGAATTCCCTTTTTCCCCAGATCTTGAACATCAGCAATATAAGCAAATGTGCTCAAGTTTGTTTGGCTCTGAGTTTTTCTTTCTTTTGTTTTTGATTGAGGATAGTTTAATGATGAATGGACCATTACAAAGAAAAAGCAGGGAAGAGGAAATACCTGTGGCAGGCCATAGGGGTGGGACTGCAGGAGCACAGCAAGAGCTGCAGTTGTGGAGAGGCCACTGCCCCAGTAGCAGAGCACGGCAGCCGGCCTCAGCCTGGCGTGGAGGAGCCCAGGGATTCACATGCCAGCCTTTCTCTCCTCCCTCCTCCCGCCACTGCTGCTGCTGGCTGAACCCAACAGGAGTGAAAGTACAAAGGGGCCTGACTGCCAGAGGCAGGTGTACTGCCATGCCGAGAAAGCTAAGCCTCAAGGCCCCTTCTGAGGCTTCATACCTATATTTTTCAGTCAGATTTATTAAGTTTGATTTGCATACAGTAAAACTGAACAGTTTTAGTGTACACTGTGAGTTTTGAGAAGCACATAAAGTTGTGTTCGAGATATAGAACAGATCCATAGGCTGGCTGGTTAACTTACTTGGGAGAGTGTGGTGGTGTTAACACCAAGGTTACCATCCCCTTACCAGACAGCTGCCAAAAATTTTTTTCTAAATAAAAAAAGATACAGAATGGGTCCATCAGCCCCCATATTTCCTCTTGCCCATTTGTGGTCAAATTCTCCCCAACTCCCAGCCTTTAGGAACCACTTCTCTGTTTTCTTTTCCTATAGTTTTGCTTTTATAAGAATGTTATATAAATGGAATCTTGTAGTATGTAACCGTTTGAGTCTACTTCTTTCACTCAACATAATGCAGGTGGTTTTGTGTATCAGTAGTTTATCCTTGCTGAGTAGTATTCCATTATATGGATGTATCAGCATTGATTCAGCCATCTACCAGTCAAATTGCTGTATTTCCAAGGATTTGTAGAGTTATCCTTATAACTTTATTAATAGAATGAGGAGCAGGTTTTATCTCTTCTTTTGGATGGAGGACTGGTATCTTCAGACAGAAAGAAATTTTTACCTGGGGAGTATGGTGGTAAATCTTTGAACTCTGGAAATAGACATGAAATAGTCTAAGCCAGGGGTCAGCGAACCCTGGCTCATGATCCAAATTTGGCCCATTGCCTATTTTTGTAAATAATGTTTTATTGGAATGCAGCCATACTCATTCATTACATAATGTGTATGGGCGCTTCAAGCTGCAGTGACAGAGTAGATCTACTTTATGAGTTCTGTATGTGACTGTTTTAAAAACTATTCTACAGTTCAGATAGGACCAATGATTAGTGTAAATTAGTGTGATTTTATTGCATATACTTTGGAGTGCTGTTAAGTATGGAGTTGAGCAGAAGTGATAATGATTATAGATATATGTGTGTGTATAGAGAGAGAGAGAAAGTAAACGTGCCAAAATGTTTGCAATTGGTGAACGTAGGTGAAATGTTTATGGGTGTTTATTATACTATTGCAGTTTGCTGAAGGCTTGAAGTTTATCAAAATAAGAAAAAAATTTAGTGGCCCATAGTCGCCTTTGAGAAGCTGGGATCAGGGATGGAAAAGAGACTTAGTTTTTATTACATAACTTTAAGTGCTTTTTTTTTTTATGTGTTTATATTATCTCTTAGAAATCAGTAATAAAATATAGAATTGAAATTGTGCTTTGTGAGCAACACTGTAGTTTGCAATATACTGGCCCTCAAATAATTGGAAAAAATAAAAATTGCAAAACAAAACTTCCCTCAGCATGTTCAACCTAATATCTAAGTGTGCACATAGAAATTTAATATTTCTTAGAATGACAAATTTTCTTCATTTTAGGATGGGAGCAAAGTATTTACTGCATCATGTGATAAAACTGCCAAAATGTGGGACCTCAACAGTAATCAAGCAATACAGATTGCACAGGTAATAATAGCCCTCTGCAGAAAGGTTGAGCAAGACTGATACCCAGGGTTGTGATGATTCTTTAATTATAATAATTCTTTATTATAGAAAAAGTGCAGTTTGACTATATTGAATCAATTAGACTTATGTATACTAGAAAGCCCTTTAGCATAAAAATAACACAAGCTTTATAACCACTCTTGTTCTTGCTAATATTTCACAGATTGTTTTGTTATGGTCTTCCATATATATGTAGGTGGCATCATAAGGAGTTAGTGACATTAAAATCTATAAAAGACAAGTGTTACAGGTGGTCCTTGACATTTATGTTTGACATTCCAACAACTGTGTGTGACTTGCCTTTTACCAACTTCATTTGGTGACTCAATCATTCAGCAAGTGTTAACCGAATGCTTGCTGTATGCTAGGCACTGTCATTAGGGGCTAGAAATAAAGCAGTGAGTAGAGGAACACTTCCTCACACCCATGGACCTTCTGAGTCTACTCAGAGACCACAGGTGGTTCTGGTGAGAAGAACACTGAGAAAGGGCAGAAGTGATGATGATGATGATGAGAGAACCTAGAACCCAGAGGGTCCAGCCTGGTCAGGGGGGTCCAGGAAGAACCCCTTGATACTGAAACATTTTCAGAAAGATGTTACATACTCTGGGATCACAGTGGTATGGACTAGAAGCACCTACTTGATTTCTTAATTCATGTCACCTGAGTAGCTAAATAAAGCTGTGGTGGAGTTCTTTACTGGTTATTTCTCAGTATCTCCTTCGGGAGGGGCTTTCTCACTTAATTATGGGTAAAAATCAAATTAAAGTTTCTTAGGATGGAAGGTAGATACATGCTCTTGTGTTAAACTAAATATTTTGGTCCTGGGGAAGCACTAAAATACCCTTTGATTTTTGTGTGGTATGACCTCAGTATTTAAATTAGTTCCTTCTCTGAACTTCCAGTACTAAAGCTGTTTAGCACAGTGTTACATTCACCTTGATCTGTTTTGTTTTGGTCTTGTCGAAAGCATGATGCACCTGTAAAAACCATACATTGGATCAAAGCTCCAAACTACAGCTGCGTGATGACCGGGAGCTGGGATAAGACTTTAAAGGTATAATAGCAGTTGAGAGAGTGTATGTCTCCATGAGGATGGACACTTATTCTTACACCATTTGGACTTCGGCTCTTGAATGGTTACCTATTGGCTCCTCTGTTTTGCTTTCAGTTTTGGGATACCCGATCATCAAATCCTATGATGGTTCTACAACTTCCTGAAAGGTGTTATTGTGCTGATGTGGTAAGGAATTTCAGCTTAGTATATGTTTGCTTGTTTAAAAAAAAAAAAAAAGCATTTGTCACCTGTGGCATCTTACAATTAGCAGATAATCTAAAAATTCCTCAAACTCTAATAGTAGATTCAGGACTTACAGTTCAGATTGCGTCAGTAATCTTAAATTGGGAGATTTTTGTGCTACATTTGTTCTGGAATTACTAAATACTGGGTGTGAAGTTTAGGGCCACTGTTTGAACATATGCATTTGGCTACATGCCATCTCTAGTGTGATGTTTATTGTGTGGTGGTGGGAAAACTTGCGGTAACTTGGTGGTGTGGGACTAGGTCTTTGGGGACTGTCTGAGTGGGATAGAAACTGCAGAACCTTCTCCATCCATTTAGTCATGAGTCTTAGAATTTTGTACTACCTGCCCCAGCAATTCCACTTTTAGGAATTTGTCATGAGAAAAATAATCAAAGATGCAAATGGTCTTTGTTTTATGTAATATAGCGAAACATTGGAAGTGACCTAATGGGGCCAATGAGATGGGCACAGTTAAATGAACCCTGCGATATGTTCATTTGAGGGACTGTTAGGCACTGCTGTGTTCCCAGGGAAGTGTATGAAGTGGGCTGATGCTCACAAAACATATTGAACTGAGTAAAGGATACAATTATACAGAAATATACATACACAAGTATGCTCAGAAAAAAGACTGGAATAAAATATACCATAATTTTAGCGGTTATTTGAAGGGGTGGCATAGATGATTTTCATTTCTTCTCAGTTCCTCAGTATATTCTATAAATATTCACATATTTTATGTTAGTTTCTTTAAAAAGAGTATTTTAAAAATACATAATGTTCTACTTTCAAATATGTTTTTTCTAGGTTTTTTGAAATGTTGATATCATTGTATTATTAAACTTAAGAAAATTCAGATTTAATTTTGGGACTGAAACAATCGATCTAATATGTTGATCTAATATCCACTCCTTCATTTGAAGCTTGTCTTTGCTTTCCTCCATCCCTAGATATATCCTATGGCTGTGGTGGCAACTGCGGAGAGGGGCCTGATTGTCTATCAGCTAGAGAATCAGCCTTCTGAATTCAGGAGGATAGACTCTCCACTGAAACATCAGGTGAGTCTTAAGTCAAGTCAAGAAGCATATGTTTAGCACCTGTTATACGCTGCTTGTGTATGGAATACAATTGTACTTTGGAGAAGCTGTTACTATTTTCAAAGGGGTGAATTTAAGGATACAAGCACAAGTATTTAGTGAGTAAATACTCTGTATTCCTGGATGAGCCAACTTACCTGTTCTCTCCAAACATCCCCCTGAGTAGCTGGATGCCTCTGAATAAAACTGAACATCTGGATGGCTTGGTTCCAGTGTAAATTCGTAGCTTCCAACTTCAACTGTGCCTTCGCTATTCCCAGTTACTGGGTTTTTCTCTGCAGCTCAGTCCTCCACTTGCCATAGGTCGGCTAGACCATCTTCACTCTGGTGCAACTCCCAGACCCCCCTCCTTTAGGCTTTGTCTCAGCAGATGAGATCAGCTCCTGCTCAGAACAAAGAAGCTAATGGTTGGGCACTTCCTCATCTTCCTCCTGCCACATCTAGAAATCTGTCTGCACGTGCATCTTTCCCCACCTTCCCACCCCTTTTCCATTAGATGGAGGCCTTGTTCTCCAAAGACCAGTTTTGTGGCGGGACCCCATGCCCTCCAGCCTTCTCAGGAACCTTGTGCTGTTCACCTCTCTCCTATAGCTTCAGTCTCTTTCTCTTCTTAGTACTTTTCCATTAGCACTGAAACACACTCAGGCCTAGTTCATCCTAGAAAGCAAACCTCCCCTGACCCCCTTGGCTTCTGTAATGCCAGCCTCTTACCTCCTCCTCCTCCTCTGGCTGCTGCTGCGTCTTTCTTGCTGGCTCTGTGCTCAGACGTCTGCCCTGGGGTGCTGCCTTCTCTGCCCAAGTACAGTCTCATCTCCCATCCATTGTGTCGCTCACTCACACCTTATGTGCTGGGAACTCAGATCCCCAACAGACCTTGCTTCCATGCTCCTGACGGCAACACTCACGATGTGACAAGTTCCTTTGTGTGTCTCCCAGACATCTCAGCCCAGCATTATCCCAAGCCAAATGCAGGACCACTTTCTGTATTTCTTTATTCAAATGTTACTCTCCTCAGGATTCTCCCTGGCCACTACTCCCAATACATTTTATATATGTATATACGTATGTATATATGTTATATATATGCCGAGTATTTTACTTCTTTTGTCTTGTTTTGCCAACTAGGATGTAAAAACTAAGTGAGAGCAGAGATATTGTTTGTATTTGTTGCTGCCCCATTCCCAGCACCTGGACCAGGGCCTGGCGTTTAGAAGGCGCTCTGTAAATGTTTGCTCAGTGAACAGTTTATCTTAACCTGCCTCTTCCCACCACCCCCAGCTTGTTCCTTCTGATGTGCTCCACGTCTCATTAAATGGGACCTCTATCTGCTTAGCTGTCTAAGCCAGAAATCCACATTTCACCTCTGCTTCCTCCTCTTATCTCATTAATTACCAGGTTTCCTTACTTCTATCCTGAAAATATTTTTCTCTCTCCCTTTTGCCACGTCTAATCCAAGTCTTCTTAGAAAGCACTTAGATCAAAACTTCATGACATTGGTCTTGCCCATGATTTCTTGGATATGACACAAAAAGCACAGGCAACAAAAGCAAAAATGGACAAGTAGAAGTATATCAAACTGAAAAGCTTCTGCACAGGAAAGGACACAATTAACAGAGTGTGAAAAGACAACCAATGGGAGGGGAGAAAATATTTGCAAACTATATATCTGACAAGGGGTTAATTTCCAAAATATATAAGGAACTCCTGCAACTCAATAGCAAAAAAACTGATGACCTGATTAAAAAATGGGCTGAAGACTTGAATAGACATTTCTCCAAAGAAGACATATAAATGGCTAGTAAGGATATGAAAAGGTGTTCAACATCAGTACTCATCAGAAATGCAGATAAAAACCACAGTGAGATGTCACCTCACACCTCTCAGGACTACTGTTATCAAAAAGTCGAGAGATGGCAGGTGTTAGCAAGGATGTGGAGAAATTGGAACGCTTGCACAACATGGGGGGAATGCAAAGTGGTGCGGCCGCTGTAGAAGAAAGTGTGGAGGACCCTCAGAAAGTGAAATAGAACTGCCAGTGATCCAGCAGTCCTGGGTGTATATCCAAAAAAACTGGAATCCGGATTGTGAAGAGATGTTTACGCTCCTGTGTTCATTGCAGCAGTATTTACAGTAGCCACATGAATGGTTAATAAAACATGTATACGTACAATAGTCACTACTCAGCCTTAGAGAAGAAGGGAATCCTGCCGTTTGTGACAAAGTAAATGAACCTGGAAGACATTTTGCTAAGTGAAGTTAGCCAATCACAGAAGGGCAAATATCACGTGATTCCACTATTATGTGGTATCTAAAACAGTCAAATTAGTCGAACTAAAGAGTGGAATGGTGGTGGACAGGAATTGGGGGAGGGGAAAATGGGGAGCTGCTTAATCCATGGGCATAAAATTTCAGTTAAGTAAGATGAATACACTAGAGATCTGCCTACAACATCATATCTAGAGTCAACGGTTATGTACACTTAAAACTTTGGGAATGGATCTTATGTTAAGTGTTTTTACCACAAGAAAATAAAATTTTTTTAAAAAGCAAACACTTAGACCTTGGCCCTTCTCCAGTCCATTCTCCCTGCATAAGGCAGGGAGATATTTCTTGTAACGATGCATCTGACCTTGCCATACCCCTGCTTCAACCTTTCACTCCCCATTTCCTTTTGCATGAATCACAGACTCCTTGTAAGACACAGTCTGGTCTGGCTTCACTTCCTGCCACCCTGTGCCAGTCATTCTGGCCTTTCTGTTATTGAGGAATGCCATAGCCTTAGCATAGGGTCACTGTATGTGGCTGTAAATGGCACCCCCTGGAGTTAGTTGTGCAGTTCCTCATCTGTGTGCTGTGTAGTAGACACTGCTGAGAACCAGCCATGGTCTATTCTGTCCTCTAAGAACTTAAGACTTTTGTCCCTCTGCTTTAATTTCTTTCTATTCAAACGTAATGGGCTGGGCCTAGGTGAGCCTGGCAGCAGCAGTGACAGCAGAACTGCGCAGCTAGAGGCGGCCCCTCCCAACTCTTTGGACCTGGAGGAGTGAGTGCCAGCCTGCCCCACGCCCTGACCCATGCTGAGGTGAGCTCAGCAGCAGCAGGGTCAGAACTGCGCAGCTAGAGGTGGCCCCTCCCTGCCCTCCTTGGACCGGAGGAGAGCACCACCCCGCAGGTTCTGACCCACCGAGGTGTGCCCAGCAGAACCACGTGGTGCTAGGGGCTCATTTTACATCCACAGATTCTGGAACAGGAACTAAGGTGGTTTAACGTCACCACCATACCTACTATCAAGCAAAGGTAATTCATCTCCACAGTAGCAACCAGGGCCACTTCATAGCCAACCTCAGTGTAATAGAAGAAACAAACCCTCTACCAAATGACCAAATGTCAATGAAAAAATACTAGGAGTACAAACAATCAAGAAGAAATGACACCACCAAAAGAATACAGTAGTGCTCCAAAGTCAGACTTCATGGAACGGAATCCTTGAAATGTGTGAAGAAGAATTTCAAGCAATGATCTTAAGAAAACTTGAAGAAATAAAGGAAGACTCAATTAGAGAACACAATGAACAAGAAAAAATATCCAGAATATGAAGGAGGAAATCTACAAAGAGATTAATACCTTTAAAAAGAGTGTAGCAGAACTTCTAGAAATGAAAGACTCAGTGAAATAAAAAACACAACTGAGAGCTTGAGCAGTAGGGTAGAGCAAGCAGAAGAAAGAATTTCAGAGCTTGAAGATGGTCTTTTTGAGATAACTCAGGCAGACAAAAAAAAGGAAAAAAGAATTAAAAATAATGAGGAAAATCTAAGAGAGATAGCAGACAACCTCAAGTGCTCTAACATCCAAATCGTTGGTATTCCTGAAGGGGAGAAGAAAGGAAAAGGTATTGAAAATGTACTCAAGGAAATAGTAACAGAAAACTTTGCAGGTATAGGGCGAGATATATACCTTTAGATCCAGGAAGCTCAAAGGTCCCCAAACAAATTCAATCCAAAAAGACCCTCCCCAAGACATATTATAGTTAAATTTGCAAAACTCAAAGACAAAGAGAGAATTCTACAAGCAGCAAGAGAAAAGCATCAGGTCACTTATAGGGGAACCCCCATCAAACTAACAGCAGACTTCTCAACTGAAACCCTACAGGCCAGAAGAAAGTAGAATGATATATTCAAAATACTAAAAAAAAAATGCCAGCCAAGAATTCTTTACCCAGCAAGGCTCTCCTTCAGAAATGAGGGAGAAATAGTATATTTCCCAGACAGACAAAAGCTGTGGGAGTTCACTACCACATGACCAACCCTGCAAGAAATTCTCAAGGGAGTCATTCATCTGGAATCTGAATAATGGTGACCACCATCATGATTACACAAGGAAGAGCAAAACCCACAGTTAAAACAAAAATGCTGCCAGAAAGAGAAATTAAATTATTCCATATTATATTCCCAGCTAACATTGAAGAAGAGAAGTAAAAGGGGAAATAATGATCAAAAGGTATTTAAACCATATGAACAAAAAGCAATCAAATGACAGGAATTAAGCAACACTTGTCAATAACTACTCTAAATGCAAATGGACTAAGCTCCCCATTCAAAAGGCACAGACTGAATGATTGGATTAAAAAGCTAGACCCAAATATATGCTGTCTTCAAGAGATCCACCTCACCTGTAGAGACACACACAGACTAAAAGTGAAGGGATGGAAAAGGATATACCATGCAAATGGAAACCAAAAACAAGCAGGAGTAGCTATTCCTATATTGGACAAAATAGACTTTAAACCAAAAAATATTAAAAACAAAAACAAGGCCATTATATAATGATGAAGGGATCTATCCAGCTAGAAGACATAACAATCAAACACGTATGTACCCAATACCAGAGCACCCAGATATATAAAGCAAACACTCTTAGACCTAAAGAAAGAAATAGGACCTAATACATTAATAGTGAGTAAT